CACCAAGATAGATACGACTGAGTTTCATCTGGTAAGATCAGACCCGCTCTGATCCATCTTCAGCACTAAGCAAGTTCCAGTAGACAGAAAAAGCTTCCTTTTAACTGACAGAAACCTTGAGCAGCACCAGACTAAGGCATCTCCTGAAAGTGTGCTAGGACTAGAGAGGGGATGGAGGGAGATGCAGACGTAGAGAGGTGGTTTAGAGGCATCCTTGTAGATCCCCCAGGCATCAGCTAGAAATATGTCAGCTCTGATGTAAAGTTGAAAACATGGTGTACACACTCCAAGATAATCTGATTTCACATTCTGGTAAAAGTCAGCAAAGTCCTGATTATCGGACAGATGACCCCTCAAAAGGTTAAAGACCAAGACAGACTACCGGTTTACCTCTGCTGTCCAAGTATTTGTAGAGCACAAAACTTAAATTTGGAGATTAATAACTGCCAAGTCAATAGAGAAAAGCAGATGAGGAAAAATACTGAAAGTAGTGAGGGCTGTCAAAACACAAGGAGAGACATCAACCAAAATGAAGAAAACTGACAGGAAGCAACCATAAAGTATGATATGGTCTGGACTTTTACAGCTATTCCTTTTAACTCGACTCATGACTGGTTGAGTTAAAAGGAAAAGATAGATGGAAAGATACTAAGAAAAAAAAGGTAAAAAAAATTCTGGTGCTATTTTCTACATCTGTAAAAATCGAGACACAATTTGACCTTACAGTAGTAAAGAAAGTGAAGATTAATGTTAATGTCACCAACACTGGCTGTAACCATGGCGGCACTCCCAACCACTGATTAGTAAATAATTTTCAAATTAATGATATGGGTTTCTTTTAGCCCATTGGAATCAATATACAGTCCATTATCCAATATAATATAATTGACTTCCATGGGATCATACAAAAAAGTGAAAAACACTCTTCTATGAAGACTAAAAACATTATCAACAGTGTTCGAATCTTTATTTTAATCAGGCTGTCAACATGTGGATTTCTGACGGACAGTTTAACATGGAGCTCGTGATTCTATTCAAATAACAGCTTCATTACTGCTCTACAGTGTTCGCATGTTGTAATGAAACCCGCTCTACCAGACGATAATAAACTGGTTTAGATGTGACCTCCAAACAATGACTTCATCTGTCTCATGTATAAATACATTTTCCCTTCTCTCTACATTTTTGTTTTTCATTTACACCCCATCCTCTCCATCTCCTCCTCCTCCTCCAGTCTTCATTACCTTCATCTAACAGAAACAGAAGTAATTCTCAAGAGCCCAACGGACAAATGCAGAGAGAGGGATGACGGCGGGCGAGGGGTGGATGAGTAGGAGGCGGAGGAAACAAAGTAAAGCTTTTAATCTGTAAATGGAGAAGGGTAATGGTCATTTAAGCATTAAGATATCCCCTCTGTCCGTCTGCTCCGCTTGCGTCTCCTTAATGCTCCTTAAACATTTATGAAGGCTGATAACAAAGAGGGAGCGCAGCTACGCAGAGTAATCAAATCACTGCTGGTTATAGGGCTCTACTCGGAAGAGAAAAGGAGGGAGAGAGACAGAGCGAGGGAGGAGAGGGGAGGCAGGGTATTAAGAGGAGAGCACAGAGTGACAGTGTGAGAAATAGAGACAGAAAGGAGAGAAGACAAAGAAAAATATATTAGCTCTTTAAATAGTCGTCTTGAAACGTGCAAATAAAGTGCAGCGTGTTGCTGTCAAGGAGAATATTCCTCAATGTATTTTACATTTTCCCTAAACACATCTATCAGACTCTCTCAGGAATTCCTCCCAAACACAATATCCTCATTTTAGAGAGTGTGTTTGCTGAAGTTCGTGCGTCCCTATAATTACAGATGAAAAAAGGAGGACTTTACAGGCTGAGGCCAAAAGAGATATCAGGTTAGATAATACCCTGGTGTGATTTTTACTCAGTTACATCCTGTGTAAGTTTAGAATATAACAGCATCAGAGCAGAGGTGTTCAATCATGTTTCATGAAGGATGAAATGTCTTAAAGATTCCACTTGACTTTCATTATTGAAACAGACAAAAGGAGGTCATTTTTGTTATATTCACTTATATAACATGAATTATCAGAAAACCTGAATCCAGTTCTTGGATTTGAGGCAACACTCACTAAAGGCAGTGACCCCAAAAGTCCAATTTAAGTGCAAAGTACTGCACCCAGGCACAGAAAACTTTCTTGGCCCTGGCACAGTCAGAAAAGGTCGACTTCTGCACGGTACGCTTGCTTATGCAAAATCATAGCACTAGCATGACACAGTGAAGTACTCAAACTTTACATCACATGGACATGCTGGTACAGATAAAATAGGACCTAAATGCTGCCAGCAGAAAAAAATCTAGCACTGTAAAAAGGTGACTCCTGTACTGGCAGAAGGAGGGGGGTTGACGATTCAACAGTGAATCAGTGAGAGGAAGGCATGACTATAACTACAAGCTAACCAGGATAAGGTTTAGAGAAATTTGCATCCCACTGACTCACAGGAGGACTGGGGAGGACTCTGTTGGTTTTGCTTTATGGATAGAAAAGAATGCCAACACAGCAAAGGTAACAAATGTCTCGTGTATGTATTACAGAACAAATAAACTTAATTTGCTGGCTCACAGATTTAGTTTTTTGGGGGTTTGCTGGTACACCCTTGTTAACTTGTTGACTTATTAGAGCATATGATCGCTGTTCTATACAACCAGATTTCTGTGATATATCAGTGGTGGCTTGCAGAAAAAGTGTCGCCCATAAACTTTGCTCCAGAGTCCATTATCTTGCAGTCATGCTCTCTGGGATGTTAAAAAGTGCTCCATTTAAAATAAGAACATAGTAAAAGAAATCATGTATATGTCTTTTTTATGACGTAGGTTATCACATACAGTCTCATCTGAGGCAGTAGTGAGTGCAGGCCAGTGGGGAGGGAGAGCAGTCGCACAGGGCAACTCGGCCTAGAGTGAGGGTGCCCTCAGTTTGATTCCAGTCCTGTTTCTTTTCATAAAATATTTTCTTTATTTTTGTGAGATGTTTTTCACTTAAGGCTGTTATGCATTTTTTTGGTTAGAACAAAGGCTGGTATATGTGTTTATACGCATGAACCTCCAAACGTTGTCTTGATCATCGGTCACCGCCGGGATGCCTGAAGAGGAGGCACGAATCAAGATTTTTTTTTTTTTTAATGTTTTTTTTTTAATTAAAATAAATTTAAAAAAGAGCAGTGCAGCCTGTTATATATGTGAAAGAACTACAGCTGCAATAGACCACATTGAAAAATATAATTGTTTTATGAAAAATATATCCTCATTTCAAACAGAAATCCAACACCATGTGTCAAAAAGTTGGGACAGGTACAACAAAACAGATAAAAAGTTTTGTAATGTACAAATGAGGTAAATGTTTAACATCTTAGTTATATATCTGGGTATGAATAGGATTTCCAGATTTCCAGATTTCCACCCAGATGATCACCCAGTTTGTTATCAGCAGACAATTCAATGCCAGCATCCCTGATGGCATGAAGATACGTAATGCAATTAAATTTGTCTTTATTTCTCTTTCTCTGGATTAACAATCAAAGTTCTGCCTGACAACAAGGTCAAGTCCACTTCCTCACTGAGATAAAAGTTTCTAGTCTTTGCTGCTCAGAGATGCTCTGAGAAAGAAAAACTGGGACTCCTGGCTAAAATTTTAAGCTCAGTGAGGAGTTCTTTGGGGGGATTCTCAGGATGTTCGTAGATACCGGCACAGATGGGTGATTCTACTGTTGCCCCCTCCTAAATGCCACTCCGAGAAGTTGACTTAAGGAAGTGAGCCTAGAAGAAACAGAAACACAAAGAACTTATTTAAGATTAAGGTTGAGCTGAGAAACTACAGAGAGGGCTGGTTTCAGATAATACAGGATTTTCATCAGCTGTGATTGATGAAATACTATCATAGTAGATTCTGAGAATGGTAATGTTGCTGTAAATGAATAGGTTCTTTTTAATGATGTAGTCCGGCTGAACAGCTTTAAATCAGTCTGCAAGCACACTGAATGTTGCAATGAGCTCTTCCTTTCTGGAGATCCAGGTATCATTGTACACGTCTTTATGTTTGATTGGACACAACGCTTCATTGTTTTCACTAAATTAACAGCTGTGCATTAACACCATCAGCATCATGCTTCCTGCCTCCTGGCTGTACGCACATCCTCCGCAGATTTAAAAAAAGGCCTTCACTTTCTGGAAGCTGGTCAATGGTTCATTATCAGTGATCAGGTCTGCATGAGTAATGTTGAGTCACCCACATTTCCTGGAGCATTAATCCACCTTGAAAATGACAGCTAAGAGTGGAGGCTACTCTGCATTCAGAGGGAAAACACTGATTCACTCTGTTATTTGTTTTAATGACAGAGCACCACAATAACCCTCACATTTGATTTAAAACTAAAACTCTGAAAGACAGATGGGTCTGTATATTTTGATCATTGTGAGTGTTTTTTATGATATACCAATGCTTTATACTCTTGAAATATGTTCAAGATATAAACGTCATGAAAATCCTGGACAGTATCGTATTAGTACAATTATATGTTTTTACATGAGATTTTCATGAGAGACAGGACAAAACACCAATTAAAACAATTTTAAATCAAGAAAACTAAAGAAAATATTAAATTCAACCATAGACTGTATATACTATGGACAACTTGGCTCCACCTTCTGTCATTATACGATTTTGAAGCCGAATTGCGTTGTGTGCATTCAGCGGGAGAGTCGCTGTAATGACGCTCTGCACAAACAGCATAACCCCTGGGTGAGCTGCGCAATCTTTGTACGCCCATAGGCTGTATCAAGTGTCAATCATAGAAAACATGAACCCCCTAATAACTTTTAAAAATGGAGCTGTACAGAAAAAAGAGGACTTGAGCACAAACCAGTCTAAGAGTAACTACGTGTCAACATCAAACCAGGGGGGAGAAAAATATATTATTTAGATATAAATATCATATTTATATTCTTTGTAATTAATTTCTAAAGTTTGTCCACAACTCCATAAAGATTGCTGGAGGAGGCGGGATTTATGACCTATACTGCAGCCCGTCACCAGAGGGTGCTGTTCTCGCGGTAGCGTCACCCATTGAGGAGGCAGACTGCATCCATTCTAGGTACAGTTTATGAATTCAACTCAAAAGTTTTTTAAGACTGGACCTTTTTATTTTGTTTGGTTTTAATTATATTGTCCTATTTGATAGAAGATTGTACATTTCAACAGTTTAATCTGCAGAAAAAAATTTGGCCTTTATTAACATTTTCATGATTTCACTGAGCTGAATTAAAGCACCTTTAATCTTTTTTTTTTAAGCTTTATGAAATGTGCTGAAATTAATATTGATACGTGATCTCAGCTGTGTAAATAGTAACACCTCTGTCTACACCTTTGAACCTTTTTCCTAAGGAGGATAAGCAGACACACCAATTAGTCTGATTCATGTTTCACCCCAAACAGACTGCTTTGAATCATCAAGAGGCCCGACACATCTTTTTTAAGCTCTGCTCCTCACTTGGCACCACTTAAATAAGAAAATACGGTCAGACACGCCCAACTCACTCTGCGTCACACATTGTATTTAGATTATCTAAATGGGGCCCACAGTCTTAATTAGTGTCAGGTACAATTTCATTCTTCTTTCTCAGGTCCTCCCCTCATACCCCGGTCTCCCCCCTGTGAGGGGTGAGGGTCCTGGTTTGTGCTGATTCTCAGGAGATGTGGCTGAGACAGCAGCAGCGACTCGGCCAGGACAGATAAAGATGAATTTCCATCCAAAAGCAGGTAGAGATAGCAGCAAAGCACACTCCCTCATATAAGATCTGTTCAGCCTGTATGTTGGCAGTCACTGAGCCAGGGTGGGTGAGGAGGTGGGAGGGAGGGGTGAGGGGGTAACTCAGGGTTAAATGGAGCCAATCACAGACAGAAAAACAGCATTACACACCACATTAGGCATCATCTCTGCGCTCTCTCTCTCCTCCTGTTGCCTCGGTGTCTCTCTCCCCCTCTCTGTCGCTCTCTCCAGGTGTGCAGCAAGCTGATAGTGTCGGCTCTATTTGCACATTCACTTGAAATTCTCCAGAACTAATAGATTCTACCAGATTCAACTAACTCAATACTGCTGATCTGCAGCTTATTACAGCCAACCAGCCAACGAGCCGATCATTCAACCGACCAGCAGAGCTGGGAAGTGAAGCGCAGACATACTTTGAATATGAGGCCTGCATCTGGACTCTAATCTATAAAGTCAATCCTGTATTATTGTTTTACGATAAGCCAAGGCCATGCAGAAAGCTTAATAACTGCTGCTGGATGAGTGCCCTCTGCACAGCAAACACACTCCATCTCAACAATATGGATTCATCCTGTACACTGCTGTGGTCAGATAAACCTACAGCTCACCTGCACAATGCAGAGGGAAGGAAAGATTTGGAGGCGTGAGGAAGAGATTTCATGTCATAGACCTGGGATAGATTACAGTATTCATGACTCAACACATGCAGGATGTTGTGCATGAAAAGGCAGGTATGATTTTCAAATGGGATCTGGGAGCTTCCTGCAATTGCCAAAAAATATCATTTGGGAACATCTTATTAACTAGCAAATGTAAAAAACAGAATTTGATTGTTTGTAAATCACTGAAACTCTATTTTGTAGAAACATTTTAGTTAATCAAGCTTTAAAGTTTTAGTTAATGAAAAAAATATTCTCATATTTAAAGTGATGGCAGCAACAGGTCCCAATAAAGTGTGGACAAAGGCATGTTTGCCATTGTGATGTCAGCTCTTGTGCAAATGCCTGTGGGTACAGGAGTGTAGTTTCTTTAGATTTGAGAGGGAAATATTGTCTGCTTTAGGATTTCAGATGTTCCAAAATTTTAGGGTTGTCTTTGTTACACATCTTGCTCCAAATGTTATCAATGGGTGACATGTCAGGACTCCAAACAGGCCAGTTTATCAGCAGGACTCTTCTGCTACAGAGCCATGCTCTTGTTATCCCTGCAGAATGTGGAATGCACTGTTGCATACATGCTGCAGCATTTATGCAACAGTGCTGCACCAATCTGCCTCGAACCACATTTTGTCATCCTGTTTTGTGCAGTGTTTGCATAATATATGTATGCATGCATTGCACCAGTCTGTTCTGTATTCTTGAACTGTTATGTGCACTTGTGATGATTTGGTTTGTACTTTACTTTTGAATGCATGTGGGGGCATAGTGCATGTCCATGTCTCACCTTTTGATGGAGCATTCAGCTCTTGTCTTTGTCCACTTCAGGTGGGAGTAGTGGCAAGAGTCAAGTAGGATGTCTTTCATCCTCTTTTAAAAAAAAAAATACACCTGCTATAACAGCTATAAGCTCCCTCTTTCACATAACTTGAGGTGACTGACTTGTGTCAGCTGTACACACGTGTGGAAATTCTCCAATTACACTTAAAATGGCACTTTATAAAATGCACTTAAGATATTGCACTGTATTAAACTAAATTTACATAGCATATGTCATTACGTATGTACACACTGTGTATATTGATGTATTGTTGAAGGTATGTCAAAGAGGCTATGGATGTCAATGAGCAACTTTGCTAACTCTGGCATATTTATATTTGTATTATTATACTGAGTTCATTCGTGTGCTCTGTCCTTTTCCGAATAAAAAAAATACAAAATAAGTCATTGTCTGGATGGCAGCGTGTTGCTCCTAAACCTGCAGTAATTAAATCTACCCAGATGTGCAAGCTGCTCATGACATGGTCCATCATGATCCTCATACCACAAGGGTTGCTGATTTTAACTGAGAGCTGGTAACAAGCTGGGTGGTCGCTCTCCTTTTTGAGTAATGTTTCAGTCATGTTTCTGACCTGTTGCAATTTCACCTCAGAAGTTGGTGGGTGTTCCTCCAGCTGTTTTTGAGCATTTATCACTTTTTATCTGTTTCTTTGTGTTGTTAGCATTTAGACATATTTGATCCAATTTCCAGTCCCGACATCTGGTGTGTTGTCTTTGCACTATTTTCAGTCAAATACCGGCTTCAGCTGATTTGTAAACCATCACGTTCTGTTTTTATCAAACCGTGTCCTATGTTTTTGGAAAGAGGCTTGAATGTCATTCATTTTTCTTTCATCTGAAAGACGCATCAAGCTGAGTCCATCACTTTACTCTCCAGTTTCAGCCAAGTCATTAAACAGCTCCCTCGAATTTTGCCAGGAACAAATGGTTCCTGTTTTATCCAACATATTTGATCCAATCTTCACCATCTGAGAAAAAGAGGCTCTCTGGATGAGTTCACTGTTTAGATGTCATGTGCCAGTGAGTTTGGAAAAAAAGGAAGTAAGCTGTGTGGACTCTCATTCTACCTGAGGGGGATAACAGTGAACCTGCACAAAATGAAGTCCTGGATATTCTCTTGACCTAATTTTAGCCTTTTTAAAAACAAAGGTCAGGTTTTCTGACTCTTCGCTTTTAACCTTTCACCTGTATGTATGAGCAAAGGTTAAAGGGTCACTCAGACACGGAAGCAGCATTGATACTTTGCATTATAACGCGTCTCAAAAATGCATCCCTGGTGACTGCTTGTGATAATCTCATTTTATTGACTCTAAATGCAAACACATTTATTAAAAACATCATAGTCCACTAACATATCTGAGTAGGGTAAGACAGGACCAGGACACAGAATAATGATGACATTACATCGAAACTCTGCTCAGTAAAATCACAAAGGTCCAGATAACAACATGGTGCTGTAAAAATATTTTATACCTGTTCTGTTATAGACATCATGCAGAAGTTTAAGCAGCCTTATTACACACGAGTTACATCAAGGTTATAAAAAAAGTTGTTGCTTTGTTGAACGTACCTCCGAACCCTCAGCGTTGTTTTGCAGATCATGACTGTGCTCAGTGCATCAGCAGAAATAACTAAATTATTAATGGGCTCTGATTGCACTCTCCTCTCAGAGTGTCTAAATTAAAGTTACATACAAGTACAAGTAAAACTTTATTAATCACACTCTTTGGTTGGAGTTTTCAGTCTGTGCTGGTGTGAATAAACGCAGACACAAAGACACACAAAGATGGCCTGCACTAGATTAAACTCTGCCCAGTGCCCTGGCTCTGTTATTGTGTTTATTTTTCACTCTTTGACAGCCGGTTGTGTTTGATTTTGTCGAACAACCTCACAGAGAACTTTAAACAAAGCCAAGCTGACACCATCTGATCTTCCCCCGGTCCTTGCCCTCAATTTTATATTAAGAAATGTTCCGATGAATCATGTGGAGTATTGTCAAGTGAGAAGACCTCGTCTGTGGTTTCTGAAGCTGAGTGACGACATGTCTAGTTTAGGCTTTTATGTTCACCTCCCTACAGACAGAGAGGAGAAGGCTCTGTGAACACACGCTGATCCATACACAGGTTACACTCTGTTAAGACTGAGGTAATAATATCTGCACCAGCGTCAGCTCGCATGTGCTGTTTAGGAGCTGCAATAGATACCACGGCAGTGCACCTGCATGTCCGTCTTCACTTGACACATGTAGCTGCAGGCAGTCAAGCAAAAAAGCGTCAAGCCGTGTACTTTTCACACAGCTACAATTAGGACTCGTCTACGCGCTGAGTCATTTAGAGTAAATACTGCTTGCTGTTTCTATCTTGAGAGACAAAAAGCTCTGCAGGATCTGATCTGAGTGTGACAGAACTGCATTTATTTAGTCCCTGACTTATAATACTCCCTCTAGAATCAGTGTGTGCAGGTTTCATCAGCGCACAATGCTCACTGAGATCCAGAAGTGTTTTTGGCTCTTTCCATACCTGGAACTTGGTTCAGTGGTATGCTCAGGCAGTTTGAGGGTAGGGGCAAAAAGGAAGACCTCTTGTCTGAACCTGACACTGAAAGTTGGGCAGCATTTTGAATACATTTTGTTGCTCTTCACTTTGGTACATGGGGATCACAAGATAGTTCCACGACAGACCTGTTTCTATCCTCCAAAAACAATGGTGGCCTATAACAGTATCAAAAAGAACAGTAAAGACTGCCCCATGTTATCTTTTCATTTTTCCTTTATCTTGTTTCTCTCCAAATAAACAGGAATCTGAATTGAGAACCAATAAGGACCAGAAGTCATAAAATCAAAACAGTGCCAGATCTGCTGGTCATGGGCCATGCTCCCTGGTATTTACATTTCAGAGTCACATATAGCAGGAAGAATAAGGGGCTGTGCTACAATCACCCCTACTGTGGGCTGAGCTTGACCTTTTGGCCTGTCTGGACTAACACTATGCTTAGTGTTTCCAATAAAGTTCTGGATGATCATAGGAGACACGACTTTCTTAATCTGCTGCTTCACTTTTCATGGTGTTCACAAGTGCACTGATTGATTATCTAACTATGAGCTCATACACACGAGTTTGCATTAAAATTTAGAAAAACACAAAACAACAACAAAAAAACCCCACTATTTGGAGGTTGTTTTTTTTATTTTATTTTTTTAAATGCAAAGCCTGGTTGTTGTGTTTTTATTTCT